ATTTCGTCGGGGATCTGAGCGTCATCGTCCTTGTACGAGTTGGCCTTCATGTTCCAGATGATCTGGTGAGCGAACAGCTGGGAGAACTGAGCTGTTTCAAGGATATAGCGCTTAACATATCCAAGGCTATCGTAGCGGAGAGACTGGACAATTTGGGGAACATAAAAGAATGTTACGTCGACAGAATGGCTCTCCAGCGCACGCATGGCGTACTGAATAATGAAAGGATGCGACTGGTAGGCGGGCAGGAACATGGTAACGGCTGTTACGGGGTTCACGGGGTCCCAGTACAACAAATACTGTCCAACGTTAGTATTTCAATGTCAGTCAGGGTACGAAACATACCTTGAGTTGTTGCGAAGCAACGTCGTCAGGAAGGAATCCTCCAAAGATCAGGTGCAGAGCCTCAGGCTCGAAAATGGCCTTCTCAGGCATGGTGAGAAGCAAGAACCTGATATCACGCTGCAGGCGAGGGAATGGAAACCTAGTTGCGAGTTCGATCGCAATAGCTGGGTCCTGCCACCATGCAGTTCTAATGAGTGGTAAGAGTGCAGCTTCGGTTGGTGCCTTGCTGGCAGTTTGAGTCAATGCTTGATTGCTCGCATTGTTGAGGGGGTTAACCCAGACTATCAAGCGCAGTTGTTCATTTCTGAGCAGGAGATCGAGTAGTTGCTCTTTGGACTGTAGAGACTTGACATTACCCACAGTTTGGGCGCCAATAAAAGAGACCTGTTGGAGGGCCGCTAAGACATCAGAGATAAGACGTATCTCGGTCTTCATCTGTAACAGGTTGCCTCCGAATGACCACTTGGGAGCAGATCTGAACCAAGACAGGCCAGCCGTAAGAATTCGCTCCTTGAGCCTCCACTGTGCTGCAGGTTTGAGAGTGGTGCTGGAACGCAGGACACGGAGGCCAAACAAGACAATTTGGAATCGAATCTCTCTGGCCATTGGATGAGTTGCAGATTGCTTCATTGCCTCCAGTGTAAGATCAATCATCCGGAGGAACACCTTCTGGATATCAGGGCTACCGAGTCTGGTAGCGTTATAATGACTGGCAAAGAATTGGAGCAGTCGAGTATGGGGAGAGAGAATGTCATGCACAATTTGCTTCTTCTTGGCTAGAGCTTCTAGTTCGCTGGGCGCAAATTCTTCCTTCAAGAAGAAGGGGTCGACATGATTGAGGGTTGGGCTGAACAGGCCGACCTTTCGCGTGAGAGTGAATTCCCATTGCTGGACGATCTCGTTTAGCAGTCTCGACTCCTGTCTTGGGTTTTCATTGATTACACCAAGCCACAAGGAGACACCCAAGTTGATAGATTGCTTGGTGAACAGGGCGAACGGAATGCTCACGAGGTGATGAGCAACAGCAGCTTCATCCTTGCTCGTGCGGCAAAGAAGTGCTGCTGCCCTACGAAGAATATCTCGGACTTCAGTGATGGACGTACTCTTCTTGCTGAGAATTCTTGCCTCAATATGAGCGAGTGCAGTAGTGGCGTTGGCACTCTCCTTTACAGATGACTGCACAAATGACAAGCGACGGTTATGATTCATGAAGCTCATAAGTTCTGTACCACGATCCGGAAGCGTCTCGCCATACCGATATTCTTGGCGAGTTGTGTACTGCGCAACAAAGGCAGAGGCTGTGTTGACACTCGAGTTGCCAATCTTGTCCATGGACTGGAGACGATTGTCTGTTGATGGAATAATTGATCCTAGCTCAAGAGCAAAAGACCTTCCCAAAGAGACATGACCGTAAGCGCCTTCGTCACTGAACTCCGAGAGATATGTCTGCAGAATACCCTTGACATCGAGAGGAGAGAGGTTGATGGCAGAATTGACCCATACCCTGGCTTTACGGTTGAGGATATCCACCGTCCATCTTCGAAAATCATAGTCGTCTGAAAGCTGCACAGTCACTCCGCCAAGTTCTGACGTGAAAGTAGACCTAGGAGCATAAACATCTGTCTCGGCTTCCAAGCAGCTAGACCACATAAGCGAGAGTAGCTCGATCAGTGCGAAAAGTGACGACCTATAGCAAAGGGCTGAAGGGATTTCACGGAGGAAGCGATCTGCGCAAACAAACGCGGCTTGCTGAACTCGCTCGATGCGATGGCAGCAGCTACAGAAAATGGTAGCGAGCTGTTCGGCAGCATACTGGGCAGAAAAGGTTGGTTCGGCGCCGCTTTGAGTCTTTTGAATATATTTATCCATGACAGCAGCTGCGACACCCTCCATGGCGCTGCTCAGCTCTCCCTTGGACATGCTCGGCTCCAAGAAATAGGACAGAACCTTGGTGCAATCGCCTGAGTCGGCTCGAAGGATTTCCATCAGATAAGCTGCTTGCAAGAAGATCACCTTGCGATAGCTGAGGCTCCTGATCTCATTGGACTTGGAAGGTACAAGATCACTCAAGAGCTTCTTCTGCAGAGACTCTCTATCGTTGCTCATACCACGTCGTAAAACAGTATTGAGCTCGATATCACTTTCGACCTGCTCACCTCGCTGCTCGGCCACCAAAGGTGGGGAGTGAATAGCAATCATACGCAACTCTCTCATATACTGTTTGCCACGGTCTGTGTTCGTGGTAAAACCGTGAACCACGATGTTGAACCAAGCGTCTCGAAGAAGAGAATACGTCTCATCATCGGCGATGGGCTCGAAAGCAAAATCATTAGTGGACATAAAGATCGCTAGCGGGTGAAGAAGCTCCGCGATCTCCTTTGCAGCCATTTGTACATCGGATTCCTTGGTATGTCCAGATGAGTGTACATCACCAAGGCCGATGATGCTGTCAAGCAAGTGTTCAAAATATATATCGAACAGCTGCGAGTCACGTCGTAGGTTGGCAGAAATGAAAGTGCGAGCATTTCTCACCTACACAAATCAGCAAGTATCAAAGTATAGATAGTCATATTCACTTACAGCTTCCAGCAAGAACAACTGGTTTTCGACAACTCCAGTATGACACAGTTTGTTAAACAACTTGAGCAAAGAGCGGAACTCGAGCTGTCCACCCTCGAGAGCCAGAGCAGCTGCTCCACTGATGATACGAGCATCTACACCTGTGTTGACCTTTTCGAGCTTCTGCTGAAGCATAGACTGAGCCAGTGCAGTGATTTTCTCATCCTTGAAAGCAGCGGCAATCCCACAAATAGTTTGCACGACATTGCCAGAAACAATCGCAGTCTCCTCCTCGCCATACATCTGTAGCGAAATCGAGCTCCCAATGGACTGGCGATTGGTATAGATGGGATTGAGTCCTGTATCGCTTGCTGTTCCATCAATCTGATCGTTCACAAACGCTTGGTCCGACCCAGGGCTGAGCACGTTGCCCAGGGTATACAATGTGCCGATGACAGCATCCTTCGACAGCATTTTGAGAGCATAGGCCAGGCTATTGGAAGCTATGGTGACAATATCTTTCTGGGGGGCATCCTGAACGATGAACCTAGGTAGGATGCGGCTGACATTAGATGAAAAGGATGGTGAGATCTGGCAGATCAGAGCCAAGCATCGCAACGTGACCGAGGCAAGAGTTGGGTCAGCCATCTGAACAGAGTCATCTAGAGTTTCCTGAAGCCAGTTCATGAGAATCTCTGTATCAGCAGCATCTTCATTGATCAGAGCGCAATTTAAGTAGGAAATAAGCGCCGCAGCCTTCACAGCGTAGGCGAGACTCTGCTGGTCGGGAGATCCCATGCGGATAAAGTCAGCACCACCTTCGATATACTGGATCTCTTCAATGGCCAGGGCAGCATATTCCTCAACCGTCTTAAAGTCTGATTCAAGCGCAGAGGACGCGATATTGCGAAGATCTTCACCCTGGGCGATGTAGATATCCAGCACATGAGACTCTCGCAGAGAACGAGGGTCTTTTACCATCAGTGAAGTACTGGAGACAACAAGATGAGCGAAGCTTCGGTGCAGGAGCATAGCTCCGAGAGGTCGTCCAGAGGAAGCATAGTGGCGCAGATATCTCTTCCATTCTTTAACCTCGCGATCCTGGCTGTGACAGTTGCGAATGGTGGATAGTGCTGTTTCCACAGCGATAAGGAAAGGCTCAGAAAGTAACTCTCTAATTTTTTTGACCATGGCCAGTCGACCGCCAGCTCTCCAGAAGTCGGCTTGAGCTGCTGCCGCATCCAGAAATCCGAGCAGGGCCACGGCAATTGTCACAGTTCGAATGGCATCCTCTAGATGAGGATTCTCAGGATCTCCTGCTTGAGGAGAGATGATGCTCTCGGTAGCTCGTCTACAAGAGTTCACAAAGGCCCAGATCTTATCGGTCACATTCTCCTGAAGCTCATCGTAGTTGATGCCAAGTGCCAGGAGAGCCCCTGTCACATGAAAGGCTAGGGCCTCGGTTGGGGACGGATCGATCTTTCGGAAGAATGGCGAAGGAACGAACACCTGGATATGCGCTTCAAGAATATACGGGAATAGCTGATACGAGAGCCTCTGGGCGCTCTGGCTCGATTTGATTTTCGGTGCCGTCTTGCACAATGCGATCAAAACCTCGAATTCGCGAATAGACTACAATTGTCAATTATGCGCTATCAGATCCCTATGTTCTATGAACAACCTACCATAGGCACTCGACCCAGTGAGCTCTTATTCTGATAGCCATTGACATAGTCCTTGCTCTTCGCACCGGCGTGGCAGGCCCTACATAGTCGGTCGAGATCGGATCGGTCGAAGGATGTCGTAGAGCTAGACGCAGACAGCGAAGCTATCTTCTGCAGCGCCTTGGAGCGAATGTCACCTATCATCGTTGATGCGCAGGCGATGCAGCCGCTTCAAAGCACAGCAATTCGAGAAAAATTTAACGAGAACAAAGTCAACAAATTTGTTTCTGAAATGAGACCTTCAAAATGACGATGGTTGTTAGGTGAACTTTAGGAGGTGAACCCCTGTCAGCCTGTGCTTAGTCATCGAAGCTACCCCAGCTCTGCAGGTTAGGTGGGCAAGGCTGCAAGCTTGACGCGTGCGTCTTAACCTCAGCTCTATCGTCAGTGATAAGGCAACACCAAATCAACATCATCAACCACCGACTCCGAATTCCATCGTCTCTGCGCATCGAGAAAGATCATCAAGGTCTTACCTAAACTTTCCGTCACATAATCCGTAATCATGGCTGCCATGTTCAGCCAGAACCCTTTGATGAATGGGCCCAACTATTCATTCTCGGATGCCCCCAAGACCAACAGCGGCCAGTTTCGAGAACATCGATTCAACCCGTGAGACACCTTACCTATGCATCTCCAGAGCTTACAGCTAACTGAGCCAAGCTATACCGACAATGGCGGCTCGACTCTCGCCATTGCTGGCGCAGACTTCACCATTATGGCTGGTGACACCCGCCACACCAGCGGTTATAGCATCAACTCTCGTATGTCCCCCAAGGTCTTCCGAATCGGCGGCACCACTGCCTCTCAGGAGGATGCTACACTAGTGCTCTCTGTCGTCGGCTTCGCTGCTGACGGTGAGGCCCTCCGCGACCACCTCGACACCATCTGCAAGATCTACCGTTACCGCCACGGCAAGCCTATGACTGTCAATGCGTGTGCCAAACGCCTCTCTACCGTTCTCTACTCGAAGCGATTCTTCCCCTACTACTCGCATGCGATGCTCGGCGGTCTGGATGAGGAGGGCAGGGGTGCTGTGTACTCATACGACCCCGTGGGGAGCTACGAACGGGAGCAGTGCCGAGCAGGCGGTGCTGCGGGCAGTCTGATCATGCCCTTCCTGGACAACCAGGTCAACTTCAAGAACCAGTACATTCCCGGAAGCGGAGAGGGCCATGAGCTGAAGGAGCGGGAGCGACGTCCTCTTACACGAACAGAGGTGGAGACTGTCGTCAAGGATGCATTTGATGGTGCGGTGGAGCGTCACATTGAGGTTGGTGATAACCTTCAAATGCTCATCATTACAGCGGACGGTATTGAGGAGACATTCTTGCCCTTGAAGAAGGATTAGATTGCAGGCAAGGCGAAAGGGGAATGTATAACAGGGGTTTACTTAGACGCCACGAAATCAATGAGCCTTCTTTACAGTCAGCTGCGGGGCGTGACTGTGGTGTGATGAATATGAATATGATACCGAGTCGCTTTAACGACAAAAGAGAACGTCACGCTCCACGAAATGTAAACTAGTAGGTGGGCTATGAGGCTTCAGGATGCAAAGGCCATACTTACTTAACTCGGGATGTTAGGTTGTATAATGAATTCCTATGCAACGAGATGAATGGCGACACTGAGCTCTACAGACCGCACGTCACCTATGCATTAGATACAAGGAAGATATCCAATGCCGTTGAAGCTATCGTATTCGATCAAGCATTCACAGAGATCACGAACACCTAAATCCCTTCTTGGCACTATACGATTATAATTTTGATTTTCTGACTCGCTGTGCAAGCTAAAGGTATGCCGTGTCAAGGTTGGTTCGTGTCAAATCACTTTGAACTCTAACAGCCTAGCCTCCAACTTACTGTGTTAACGGCATGGACAACGAGCGATGGGGTAACGACAATTTAACCTTATAGCTAAGGTACGAAGCACTCATAAAGGCATACTCGAAGTAAACTTTAATCGTTGCGTTGTTCAATGGGCAACCCAATACTCGAGCGTCTCATCAGCATACCCAGCCTGTGGTTTCAAGACCAACCTGAAAGAGATGAACTGTTCTCTTCACCAAACCCTGGTTCTTGTTTGTGATGAGCCATCAGCTGTACCACAGCTATTTACCATCATTATGGGTAGACGGCACTTTCGTAAGTCTTACCCGGGTATTGCTCTTCTTCTGCCTTCTTGTTGCACGTAGAGTATGGGCGAGTAACGTTGCTAGTAAGAGACGGAATGTTATCGGCACACGGCATTTGAGAGACCCATGTCGAGCTGAGCTCTTTGGTCCAAGTCACTCACCGTTAATCATTTCAAGAGACACTTAACATTAGCCCGCGGATAGAATTGCATCCGGGAGAGTGAAACACCACTTACACTTGTAAGAGCGCGTCTAGACTCTTCTGGAGCGCCTCTATCGCACCACAAGCGCGGCAAATGGCAACACCACGTTGGTTCGTTAGACTCGAGCGCTTATTGTTGTTCCTTTGCCCGATAATTATCAAAGCACGGTCCGGTTGTTTCTTAGCAAAGATTTACTTCTGATGTTGATCATAGCCAGATGATAACCATCGAGCCAATATCGTGGCAGTCTGATACCGCCATGCTGTTTCTCCAGCCACTGATGTGTGTATCAGCTCACGAGAAGTTGTCATTGCTAGCACATCCAAGCACTCGTCTGCTCAGTCTCGGTCCCGAAGACGCTTGCAGCCCTGCCCTGCCCTGCCCTGCCCTGCCCACACCGGCCGGTCAGGTCTCTCTCTTAACCTATGAAGTCCACCATCTACTCAACAACTCCGATAGGGGAGGCAAGACCTGGTTACAGTAGTATAGGGCTATTCAAGGCCTAGTGCTGATAACAGCGTTTTCAGTTTGCCTCAATGGCTGTACAAAGATCCATCGAGATATCCCAGCTAAGCAATGCCCCGATGCAGGGAGGGTGTGGACAAGTCTTATTTTTTCCGTGTTCTGCAAGATACTGGATCTCAATATCGTTTGGATGCGTGAGTGTCTCGCTAACACAACCGACGTAGTGGCGTCTGCTCCATCGCACAATATGCATGACCCTAAATCAAGGTTGAAGTCATGATACACTGCCGTTACAGTAGACGGACACCACACCTCGTGCACACTCCACGAATCTGAAGTCTTGGAGCTTGTGCCTCTCTCGAGGTGCTGTATTCTGACAAGTCGCCTTTTCAGCTGCTCAAGGGTTAGCTATCCTTGCTTTGGACTGGTATTGGTGCCCAAAAAATGAAATTGAGACATGATAGCCCATGTACTAAGGGCATCATGCAGTAGTGATCACATTTCTGTTGGGTAGTAGGCAGGCAAGCAGGTTGACCTGGTGTGTTCTGTTTTCCACCCTTCAGTATGCATTGTAGATATGCCCTACAGGCCTTCCTCGTTTGCCTCCTCTTCAAAGAAACCGGGTTTTTGCATCCCGACTTGTTCAGGCTACGGGGTTCCATAATGCTATCTTCAGCGTACAGATATTGAAAGGCTCGTTTGTTGTGCAAGGCTGGACTAGCTACCTAACAAAGCCGAGTTGTACAACTTCTATTCAAATAACTTTTACACAGCTGTCGGTTCGCAGCAGAGACTGTGGCACAATTACTACCCTAATTTAGTGAGAAGCTGTTGATTACTTCCGAGGCATGACTGCCCTTAGAAAGGGCTTCTGACAATATCCGTTCCTATCGAGATGATGGATGTGCGTACTGGGCTGGAGAAGCGTAGTAAGCTATTTGCCACCTAAGTGTACGCAACCAAGTGTTGTTTTCCATGTCTCATGAAGGTCTAAGAATTGGCTTCAGCCATGCATGGTCGTTGGCTCAATGCTGGCTAACGTGAGTGAATGTTGTGTGGCTGAGTGTGAGCAATTCGCTGTTCAAAATCCACAGGACTTGGAACGCAATGCAATTTTGGTCTTATTTCCGCACTTGGACCGGGATCGTTTAAGTTTCTTGGTCCAGCGACGGTCTAGCCTCTTGTTCCAAGTTTTGTCGAACTCTTCCATACTTGGACATGGAACTTGCCGTCATCAGAAGGTATCCTATTGATCGGCGAGCAGAAAATCCTACAATGATGCCCACTGCTCAAATGTTGAGGAATGATCAGTTTTGCTTTAACAGGGGCTTTCCGGCATTTGATGGCAAGTTGGTGTCGGCAGATGATATTGTAGTGGTTCAAAAGAGCTACAATAATCTAACCAAAACGGCACCGAACTCGAATGCTGGCGACTTACACAACCGTTACCAGTTGGTTGGCATTTGCCACCTCTAATCGTCAAGACTGTGAGGCATGTGATAGGGAGCGGAAGCCCAACACACTCTATTTTCGTCAACTGTACACAGACAGAACTGAAAAAGGAGAGAGATACGCAGCTGTCCGTTCTAAAGTCCCTATGCAAGGCGGCGAAACGTATTTGCCACATTTGAGGGAGCTGTCAAAGGTTTCTTTCTTCATCAACAGCCTTACGCGACTTGCTTGGTAGCTCACAATTGGGTGAAGCTTGCAAAGGTACATTGGCGACTCCATCAATTGATGTCGGGGTCTTCGGCTCCTCAAGCCCCCCAAATCAAGAGGATCACAGCGGTTTACACGTCCGCACAGAGCTTCAAGAAGGACGATCAATGCTGATAATCGTTTCACAAGCCACAATGACCCTTGCTGCGGACCTCCCGACACCAGTTAAGACGGCCAATTGCTGTTTTGGTTGCGCCATCGGCGAAGACTACCTGTAACTGTAAGGCATATAAACGGAGCACCGTCGTCATGGCGTCATTGACTATTGTGTAACAAGAGGTAAGATAGGCATTGGAGCCGCCTAAAACAGTGAAGATCAACGATAAAGGTTCTGGACCCTGGTTGACAGGCAGGTGGCGAAAGGGTCATGCAAGCAGGCAACAGTCGACAGGCGCCGCTCTATCTGAAGGCCCAATGACTTTGATTGCGGGCCATAATTGTGCCACAAGTTGGAGGCTTTCCACATTTATTTTTGGTGCAGATTTCTGACACACATTCGTTGTATGTCGCTGACTCTTTCTTTAGCTGATCATACGCGGCATCTGCCCCTCTGAACGACAACGCAAATTCAGCATCAAGTGTTCTTGTTAAGAACAGGCGGAGCTTTTCATCCGCCAACCTTAATCATATCCGGGTTTTAATTGGCTAGGTGGCATCCCAGGAACCCATCAAGGGTCCAAACACACACAGCGGTGGTAGGGCGCGCACATGTCGTTAGTCCAAAAAGCCGTCGTACGACCAGGAGCTCGGATCACTGGCCGAGGAGCGAAGTAGATGAGGGGCTACTGGTCGATGATGGAGTCAGTGTTGATGCTGAACAGTAGAATGAAAACTGGCTATGCTGGTCTCAATAGTGTTAATGGTTTAAGGCGCTTACTTTCAAGATCTGGGGTTGACTGAGTTTCTGGGAAGAGGAGCCTGTCTGCCTGTGACCTGAGGTGGCAGAATCGTGAAGTGGGATGGTCGATCATCCACTTACGGATAGCCTGAGGTCCCTAGACAAGCCCAGGAACAGCCATCAGATTACCCAAGTCGTCAGGACCATACGATTGTCTCCAATAAGACGCTAGTGTCACGGGAGGCAGGTCGCCCGGCGCACTAGTTGCGAAAAGTTGGTGGGTGATGGAGAATTAAGAAATGGGATAGATCGACATCCACGAAAAGGATTGTTGGAACATGACATTATTGCTACTCACGCAATTGATTGAAACATCAGAGCCGACAAGGGTTTCGCCTGGGAATGTCACTTTACTACCCACTGCCTCCATATTGCGGCCGAGCTGCGACGTCGCGATTTCAGGCACTGTCTTTTGATGATCCGAATGGCAAGAGAATAGCAAGGCAAAGTTAGCCATTGATCAAGAGCCACTTGGGGGTCCCAAGGATAGAATTGACAGCCGGACGCTCGGATCTGAGAGGATACTGTGGTTCCATCAAGATATCTCCTCAAGCCGGCAGAAATCCAATGTCAGACTAGAGTGCAAATTGTAGCGGCTCAGTCATCAAGATCAGCGAATCATTATACAGCATGCTCAAGATTCTGCCATGAAAAGCACGGATAGTGGGTTCGTGACTTCTTGTGCAAAGCAGAAACGAATGCCGGCATGGAGCTTAGGTCCAAGACCGTGGACCGGGCGAGGCCCTCTGGAGTGGTTCGAAGCCCCCGTCAAGGATGGTCCAACGTCAGTCTTAAGAGATTCAAGGGAAACCAGTAAAAGAGCGCCGGAGCTCGCCCGGATAGAGCGCCACATGGATAGGCAGACTATTGAGCATCCGCTAGGTTGCATAGTGGTGGAAACAATGGCTCATGAACTTCGAAATGTCCCACCTTTAGTGCCCGTTTCCTAATAATCACGTCAAAATTGATCAAAGCCAAGTGAAGCGAATTGAGTTCAGAGAGGGATACGTACATGCTGGCAAGGCGACTGGCGGGTCTGTCGCGCGTGTCGATCAGATCTCAGGGACCTCCACCCTGCCGCCTCGGCTATTCCCTGTATGTAGATCCCTACTCTGTAGGTTCATGAACAGCTGTCTGAGAGACTGAGTGGCGATAGCTTCGTACGCGTCGCTGAATCGCCAGCGGCTGTTGCTTCTCTTTGCGGGCTACTGGGCACAGCTGGTGAGCCCTAAGCCAGAGGCCACTTTGTATTTGCTCTCAGGCATGATTGCAGATACGGTTCAAACAATGTCTGATATCGCAAGCCTCTTTAATAAATCATGCACATAGGTACTTAGCTTTCCTTAAGGTGGGAAATTCGATGTATTGGATAGAGTTGTCGTTTGCCATTCTCTAAAAATTCCCATGGCAGTGACTTCCTGAACGCCAAACTGCCCTGTAGTCTTACCTACTTACCTTACCTTAAGCTGCTAGGTAGAGTTAAAAATCTGGGGCAGGGATAACCTTCAGTGGCGAAACGGTTCCTTCCTGCCAGCGGGACGGGGAGTCTTGCGTTCCCATTCCATCTTGAACGGTTCCTTTCAGCAAAAACTCTGTTTGCTTACTCAAGCCAACGTATGTCAGAGTCATCAGGCCCGTTTTATGTTTCATGACGTTTCAAGCCACAAGCATCATTGACAACCCCCATGCACCACCATCCTTTAGTGCTGTCCGACTTTGGAACACAATTGTGCATCATTCTAATTACAGAATGTAAGTCATTCTGATGACTGTTGAGAACAAGGAGGCATCAGACGACATGCAATTGACAGCAGACACAGGCTTGGGTGCATGTATAAGCAAAACCACTATTATTCACGAGACCCAAAGACCTTCTGATTTCGGAGATTGTGCTTTCTGGTGGACCCCACTAACATCCGTTTTCAGGGACCGTTGCTTCAAGACACTGGGTTCGCTCGCAGAGTTCGACATCGAAGAAGCGATTCCCCACAGGAACAACAAATTTAGAAGTCCAATGCGAAGTACCGCATATCATATCACGCCTAGGGCATTTCTTGGCGTCGAAATTGGTCTTGTCTCCTCTGCCATCGCTTCACCACTACGTACTATAACAAGGTTGTCTCTCCACCCTTTACTACTCAAACACCCCATCCCTATCATCCGGGTTGGGTTCTGCTGTGGCTGTTCTTCTTGGACCCTGTTTCCCTGCTGCCGGCGCCGTTTCTCGGCTCGGGCTTCACTCTCCAATCACATTTCTCCGTGAGCTCTTGACTTCATTCTCGTCGCGAATCTGTGGCACTCGGTACC